ATACATACATACACACATGCACGCACACACATACATACATACACACACACGCATGCATGCACACATGTACATACATACACACACACACGCATGCACACACACATATACATACATACATACATACATACACACATGCACGCACACACGCATATACATACATACATACAGACATGCACGCACCACGCATATACATACATACATACATACATACATGCACGCACGCACGCACACATATACATACATACACACATGCATGCACACATATACATACATACATACACACATGCACGCATATACATACATACATACATAAACACATGCACACACACATATACATACATACATACATACATACATACATACACACATGCACGCACACACATACATACATACACACATGCACGCACGCACGCACACATATACATACATACACACATGCACGCACACACATACATACATACACACATGCACGCACGCACGCACACATATACATACATACACACATGCACGCACACACATACATACATACACACACACGCATGCATGCACACATGTACATACATACACACACACACGCATGCACACACACATATACATACATACATACATACATACACACATGCACGCACGCACGCAAGCACACATATACATACACAAATACATACACACATGCATACACTCATGCACACATATACATGCACAAATACATACACACATGCATACACTCATGCACACATATACATACACAAATACATACACACATGCACGCACACATATACATACATACATGCACGCACGCATGCACACATATACATACACAAATACATACACACATCCATGCACACACGCATACAGGCACACATATACACACACATACATACATACATACGCATGCACACATACATACATACATACATACATACATACGCATGCACACACACACATACACACACACACACACACGCACATATGCACACAAACATGCATGCACACACATACACACACATGGACCCACACACACCCGCACACACACACCCGCACACACACACACACGCACACACACACCCACACATACACCCACACCCACACACAGCTTACAGAGCCTCCAAGCTAATGTCACAGTGTAGCGGGAACACGGTCTGTCGGAAACGGATGATGGGCACACCAACGCACACACACACACACACAGAGACACATACACCCCCCCTCCACACCAACGCACACACACACACACACACACACAGACACATACACCCCCCCTCCACACCCACACACACACAGGTTACAGAGCCTCCAGGCTGATGTCACAGTGTAGCGGGAACACGGTCTGTCGGAAACGAATGATGGGTACATCAACGCTCACACACACACACACACACACCCACGCACACACACACCCACGCACACACACAAACAGCTTACAGAGCCTCCAGGCTGATGTCACAGTGTAGCGGGAACACGGTCTGTCGGAAACGAATGATGGGTACATCAACGCTCACACACACACACACACACACCCACGCACACACACACCCACGCACACACACAAACAGCTTACAGAGCCTCCAGGCTGATGTCACAGTGTAGCGGGAACACGGTCTGTCGGAAACGGATGATGGGTACATCAACACACACACACCCCCCACACACACAAACACACTCCCCCTCCCCCACAAACACACAGCTTACAGAGCCTCCAGGCTTATGTCACAGTGTACCGGGAAAACGGTCTGTCGGAAACGGATGATGGGCACATCAACGCTCAAACACACACACACACACACACACCCACGTACACACACACACACACACAAACAGCTTACAAAGCCTCCAGGCTAATGTCACAGTGTAGCGGGAACACGGTTTGTCGGAAGCGGATGATGGGTACCCTGGCGTTGAGGATCTTGAACACGTTGGAGGTGCGGGGCATCAGCTCCACAAGGGAGGCGACCATGGCCAGGGTGCGCTGCGCCAGCTGTCGCTCTGTGCTGAATGTCTCTGTGATGAAGCGGAAGTTGTGGTTGGTCTTCCGGGATGAGACAGGCGCCGACTGAGAAGTGGTAGAAAGGGACATGTACGTTTTAGTAAGAGTTTTACGACACTTGCAACACGATAGGTCATATAAGTGCCGAAGATTAGAGGTGTTACAAGAGAGTAACAAACAGGAAAAAGAAGGAGGAGAGATAGTTTTAGTTTTAGTAGAGGTTTTATGGCGCTCGCAATTGCATAAGGTCATATGAGCGCCAGAAGATTAGAGGTGTTACAAGAGAGTAACAAACATAAAAAAGAAGAAGGGGAGATAAGGACGATAGATGTTTGATAGGAAAGAAGAAGCAAACCACACCAGAGCACCCGCCAACCAACCACAGGGACATGTATATAGAGGATTTTTGGTACAAATAGAGGGTAAATATGTAAATTTCCTCAAACATAGAAGCATCACAAAGACTTACTACTAATTTGATGTCAAATGTTTCAGCCTAAAAGAGCGCAAACTATCCACACTTAACATCCTAAAACAGTACAAACTATCCACACTTAACATCCTAAAACAGTACAAACTATCCACACTTAACATCCTAAAACAGTACAAACTATCCACACTATTAATAGCCCAAAATAGCAAAAAGTAATGAACAATGTTTCTGTTCGTAGACAAGGAACATCTCACTAGAACTTTTGTTAGTTAGACAAGGAACATCTCACTAGAACTTTTGTTAGTTAGATTGTTAGACAAGGAACATCTCACTAGAACTTTTGTTAGTTAGATTGTTAGACAAGGAACATCTCACTAGAACTTTTGTTTGTTAGATTGTTAGACAAGGAACATCTCACTAGAACTTTTGTTTGTTAGATTGTTAGACAAGGAACATCTCACTAGAACTTTTGTTAGTTAGATTGTTA